TATTTCATTTTCTGATTTCAAAATTTCAAATAGAAATAGGACGTTTTAAAACCCTATCTGTTTTTGAAATAAGTTAATTTTAAATCACCCTATTAGAAAATTCTCTAATTTTCGTGTGAGCCCGCCTGAAAGGAAAATTGTAAAGCAGAAGTGGAAAAAAGAGCAAAGAATCAAGAAGTTAGGTTCAATTATCGTTAGCGTAAGTTTATTTTGACTTTTCACCTGCATCTTAGGCAATGCAAAATTAATTAATTGGTTTTCATAACGCGGCCAGGTCATAAATTGAATTTTAAAAAGTTTTTTTTTATATATTTATAGTTCTTGTCAAAAATTTCGTGGACTTAAAAACAGGATGATTTAGACCGTTCTCAACACAGTGAAAAGTATCAAGCAGTCTGGGAACAAATATACTCAGAATTTAAGAAATCCGAAGAAGTAACTGGATCAGACGCCCATAATGATCTTTTTAATAATGGGGATTTTCAACCTTCATCCAACTCTTGAGGCAAAGCTTACTAGAAAGGTCTCCGCTGTCGTTAGCTAAGTCAATGAAGAAGTTCTCCAGGGAATGGTGGAGACTATACTTCCGCTGCGATATCGCATCCCTCAATTGAGGTTAGTAATGGATGGTAGTAAAGAGAAGGGTAAAGGTAGATTTGGGTTTTTAGACATGTTCATGGTTGGGGGGAATGGTCAGGGCTTGAGCATTGAGCTCAAATATATCCAAACAGCCGGGTTATTACAAAACAAGCGAACACGAAAAATTTGATAAAGAACTAGAGGGCATGGATGAAGAAGCTCTGCTAAAAATAGAGTATAAATATTTTTCCAAGGATGATGGAAAATATGTCAGAACCACAGTATGTACGATTCTACAAAATGGTATAAGACAATTAACTGATTCGGGCATTCGTTGTTTTGGTAGTTGGGTTTCGGTCAATATTGTAGAGGCAAATAGATGGGTATCTCAACATGAACATTATAAAGTTTAAAATAGTTTTTTCAATGTTTTCTAATTTTTTAAAATTTATATAAATATATAATATATATTAAAAATTAATATCGCATTAAAAAATTTAATGTAGCATAAAGCTTGCAATTCTGTTTTATATAATATACAACGTACTGTACATGACTTATTTTTTGATTTACATTTAAATTTTTTCATATTATATTTTAAAAATTTCACTACAAAGTTACAGTACTTTAAATTAATAATGTTCATTTCGCACTTATAACACTTCCCATGTCTGTAAATAAGCATTTCTTGGTATGCTTATTACAGGAATTGTAATGAATTTTCACGCCCGTTGTGAAATGCCATTTTGTAAAGGACACCACATCACCATTCAAAAGTCAAGTTCGGAAAAAGTAAGATATTTGAAGATTCATTACTATATCCTCTTGATTTTGAAAGTTTAATGAAAAGACATATTTAATATATCTTTTACGGTATTTTTATTAGTCATAGACTGAAATATCAATACAATTAGATTCGTCCTCTTCACTATTAAAATAGAACTTTACGAAATTGTTAACAGCACAAGATACAGTGTCTTTAATTAATATTAAATAAAATTCCCATGTTTTTAATAAACGAGTAATGTTAATTAAAAAATCAAAAAAAAAAAATTATCATTATAAAAAATAATTAGATTTTAATTTTGGCCGATGTTCGATGATTGACTGAATTAAAAACTCAATGAATGAAGTTTATTTCGATGCTCAAATAATTATTCATTGATTCCATTCTCTATTTGGAACTAGATGATAATTATTTAATTCGTTGACTTTAAGTAAAGCCGAAGCCATTATAACTTGAAAAATGAAAGCTAAACCATCTATACAGGTAAGGAAACTGGATTGGACAAGGACCTACTCGAATAATTGATAACAAAATTTTTCAGCAAACTGTCAACTTTTTTTATTGAAAAGGTTTAATAAAAAATAATTTTACCCAATGGCTAAAGCTTGTAGAAAAGAATTGATCAATACCCTCAAACAGGATCTATTATTTATGATCGAATAAATTCGTTTTTTTTATTTATATTAAATTATATACTGATGTAACAATTATATAGAAGTAAATATATGTAAATAATACATTATTTAAGTTTGGCTTTAAAAAATCTTTTCCCGCATTTTGGTTTTTTTTTGTTAATGAAAGTTATATAATATTTATATTGTCATAAACAAAAATTTCGCCAAAATATATATGTACGCTCGCTCGTACTTACCAGTAGCTAAATGCTAAATTTTATCAAATCACAGTGAACAACAGCCACTCACGTGCCCGAGATTTTTTGTTGGTTGCACTGGGGAGAGTCATCCAACGTCATACATTTTTCGTATCTGCTAATATTTTGATAATAAATGAATAACTTCTTGACTGCAATTCAATTATAATAAAAAAAAATGCCAAAAAGAAATACTAGGAAGCGAAGCCGAAGGGTCCACTCCAAAAAGACATATTATAAATCCGGAAGCACCAAGGAAGAGATTTAGAAGCCTATAAAAAAAAGGAAAAATAATAAATACAATATACATATATCTAAAGAAAAAACGCCACGAATATTGAAGGTAACAAGAAAAAAAGGTTAATATATTAAACGTGCTAAAAAAAGAATATACAATATAAAAAAAAAAAAAGTGAAAACGCTGAAATAGAAGCGAACGCTTAAAAGAAAAAAAAAAGATATTTCCTAACCAATTTGAAAAAATCCTGTACAACCCGATGGTTTAATATAAGTGAAAATTACTTACTTATTGAACATTTTATCCATCATTCAACCCTTTTAAGTATTGCTCTCACGTTCATGAAAGAAATGCTATTGAACCTATAATTTAGGTTGGATACGACTTTTCTTTCTATTCACTGATTCGTTTAGGTGACCAATGTAGAGAACTCAAATTTTCCATTGTAATCCGATAATTCAATATTAGCGTCCTTTCAATATTATAAAAAGAGTTAATACTGCATCACATCACCTCTTTTTTTTTATTAAGGCGAAAGAAGGTACATATCCAGCTCCTGTTTCAGAACTAACAGACTTTTAATAACAAAGTTAGAACACCCGATTTGACTCTAGGATTGGTTACCCGAATTTCAAACCAGTAATTCTCTTGACTAGTCTTTGTGCATATCGATTAACATCACGAAAATCTAATGATCAACCTCACTTTGTAAAAGATTTTATTAACTAAGAAGCGGATGAAAAGATTTTTTCAGGTGAACTTGCTTTCATAAAACAGAGTTCTCCGCTTTGCTCCAGACAATAACAAAGTGAGACCAGGGTGTTCAAGCGATAGATCGGTGGCAAGCTGGAAATTACCAAGTGAGTTGAATGAAGTCGACCATCTTTTTTTTCCATAAAATTGCTAAAATTTGAATCTGCATTTCGGGTGATGCCGTTTTTCGATTAACCACATTTACCCTAAGAAGAATGGTTACCAAACTTGGTAGATCAGTAATCCTCTTTATTTTCTGTGAAGAAGTGTAGTCTAGAGTTGTTCCTACTTTTTAAACAAAATTCTCTTTTTAATTTTTCTTGTCACGATTTTTTTTTCAAAAAACTCAATACAACGCAAGTTATTTGTAGATGACGAAGCCCATATTATGATCGATTTTTGTATTTTTTTTTTTTTAATAGAGATGACAAGAACTAGAAAACCCAATATAATAAAGAGAATTTTTTTTCTATCCTAGTAAGTTGCAAGTAAAAAATTAAGCAAACTTACAATCTTTATTTCGCGTCCTCATTATCATCTACACGTATAGTATCTGCCTTTCGCTCATGATTTAAAAAATAAGTATTTGCTTCAAAATGAGCAGTCATAGCTTTTGATTTTCGTGCTTAGAGAGAAATCAAAAAATAGGAAATTGTATGTTTTGGGGGTCCTTTAAAGCGGGTAATGATCTGCAAAACTTTTGCTGTAATATTGATGTATAAAAAATACATAAAAGCATGATAATGCATAGAATAGGGGTAGGGTACAGCTCATCAAAAAATCGTCTACAGTAGACGTTTTGTCAAAAGCATTTCAAGACATGAGTAGGAATGTACAAATGTATAGGAAAATTCTAATTATAAATTGTAGGAACTATTGAAAGGAAGTTGTAGATAATCATGAGGCGCCAAGTAATTACAAGCCAAACCACTATTGCCGATTATAAGTACGATTTATTAACTTTAGATCTTTATTTTTTTTAGAGTTAGACATAGCTATTACTGTATATAAAAGGTAGTTCTTTAGACGAATAATAGTTCTTTAAATTCATCCAAGTCGAAACTAAAATTATCACTAGAAATAATTTTAGAATTCAAATGGGCTGGACCAGAACCTACTATTGACTGACGCTCAGAGATAGTTGGTTGTATTGGGTGCGTTGCGTTAGATACGAGTCGTGATGGTTATTAGAAGTTATTCTTAATATGATCTCGTTATGAGTAAATGTTGCGGAGTTAAGCGATACTACCAGTATAGCACCAAAATCTAACTAAATATGAATCTAACGAACACTCGCCTGTGTATTATCTTTAATTTACAACGACAAATATGATAACAATCAAATTAAGTATTATTCTCTTTATATTCAAGTTGTGCCTTTTGTGCGTAATATTCAGAAAACTAACTTATTCAATTTTACATTTCTTATTTATATTTACATGATATACAATTACATCATTTGATTGTCATTACAATAATGACGCTATTGTTAATTTTATAGCTAAGTTTATTTGACTTTAATATTGGTTTGCATAGTTTAATTTGACTTTGATCGTCACTTTTACCGTCACTCACGTGACAGTAAAGATGATGATGAAATAAAATTAGTGGTAAATAATTTAACCACTATTGATGAAATTGGTGTTGAATTGGTGAAATTAATTTCACCAGCATCTCTAGTTATGAGCAGTGTTTCGGGCGAAACTAAAATTCCTCTGGGCGAAATGTTTCAGATTTGAAAATTATTTCGCCTGAAACACTGGTTATGAGCCATACAAAAAAAACAATGTATTAAATTATTTTTAAAATAAATATATTTTTTATTAAAATAAACTAGAGTTTTATAATACATATATAGTTAAATATATTATATGATTGAATCGATAACAATTCTACACGATTGGGATTTCAAAATTAACAGATAAGTGGCGCATTTCGAAAACTAGCAGGATTTTTTAATTAGCATTTTTTACTATGTTGAATTATAATTCTGAAAAATAAAATAAGTTTCTCGATTTTAATTTGAAACCTCCATTGGTATTAAAATAAAAATAATTAAACATTCTTAGGTATTTCTCAACTAAAGAATAAAATATGGGTCTGTTTTTTTATTGAGTTACTATAATCAAACAAAGTGTAAAATTCATATGGGGCCTTTGCAGAATTTTTTAGAAGACTTGTATATCACGAGATTACTGATACTCTATACCAATAAAAATATATATTACCAGTACAACCCTTTCTATTGCAAAGGCCCCATATATTACATCACAAACACACTAAATTCCAATCTTAATGGTAATGGTGCTGACCAAATAATTTAATACATCAATTAATCAATAATCTTTATATTCCAAACTAAATTAAACTGAATAAATAAACTCAAATAACTTATTTAAATAATTTTTGTACTTATCTACTAAATTGACGCGAAGTATTAATGCTTCAATCGATTAAAATGAGCATAATACTATAATATAATTTAGTTCCTGCGATTACAACAAAGACCTGGATAAATATACTAACTTTAATTAATAAATATGTGAAATAAAAATAATATAACTGCACCAAAGTGCACTTTTTTGCAAGCAAAAATAATGTAAAACCGTTGATGATCTCTTACTATAAACCGTTCAGAATTTAGAATAACTTAGACCTAAATTGTTTTTTTTTTTTTTTTTTTTTTTTTTTTATGGTAAGGCGTTGCTCATATCTTTATTGGGTAATTTGTACAAGTAATTACATAAATATATAAAAACTTAAT